CTGGTCGTTGAGGTCTGGTGGACGCGCTTTGCTTTCTAGCAACGTCGTGGGGACACAGTCCTAGGGTCCGGAGAGCGGGACATCTTCTGTTCTTTGGGACAAGGGATTTAAGACGTCGCTTAACCAACTCCTCTTGCGTAGACGACGTCACCTCATCCTTTCCAGCAGAAGTCCAAGTTGGAGCTGCTGTCCCGGGCAGTCGTCCTGGTGGCACTGGAACGGCCCCTAGGCTGTCGCCTCCGCCAGTGACTGTGACTAGAAGCGCACCGAAGTGGCATTGATTCCTAAAGGATTTTTGGCAGCCCCCTCGGGTTCCCTCCCCCGGTGGGAGCTTTTCTGTTCTTTTAATAAATCCTGCTTTGAACAACAACAACAAAACAAAAAGGATTTTTATTGCTGAGAAAGCACATCTTTTCCCAGTAAGTTGTATGAGATCGGGAATAAGGCAACTAGATCCTTGAATTCACACGTGGGAAACGGTGTTCCAAATTTTATAAAAGAAGCAAATCAAACAAGAACTTGAAGGTTTTTTTCTTATATGAGAGACCATAAAGCAACAAACCTACATAAGATGTTGTTGCCTAGTCCTGTAAAGTTAAAGAAAAAAAAAAAAACAAACGTTTCAGGTTATTAGAGGCTGAATTTACTCGTTTTCCACAAACAATTCTTTTAGTTTTGACTTATGAGGATGGTGAGGTTTTTACACATTTTTTTGTCAGCAAGTTTTCAGATTCCTTCAAAGAGAGATTCCTGTATGTAAAAAAAAAAAAAAAAAAAAGGCATTAAATTAAAAAAATGAAAGTGTTCCCGAAGATAGCAAACATATGGAATCTAGGACACAATAACAATAGTAAAGGCTAATGATTAATCACCAAATTGTGTGAATCTTGTCAGGTTTTAAAGGAAGCAGAAACAAAGATTTTCCTCCTTATGTAGGGAAGATGTGAAAAATCTATGAATTGGGAGAGGTGTGGAAGTAAGGATATTGGAGAAAAAGTGGACCAGGACTAGGATGAAGTAAACGAGGCTTCTGGAGCTTCTTAAATTTTGCTTCTTTGGCACCTCCCATGCCTCACCTTAATCTAACTGTTAGTCTCCTGATGCTGTGGGGAGGCGTGGAGGGACTAAGAGGCTCTTCATTGCTAACAGGGCAGTGACTAGCGGTGCTGTCCGACAGTCTGGTGCAGAAGGAAGGACTGATGTAACAAGACCCACCACTCTGGCTTATCTGCTACCATTCCAAGTAGCTTCTCTGAAGCCTCTGATGATTACAGAGTAATCCTAATTCCTGATGTATTTGCAGTTAAATTCAAAATATAAAAATCTTAAGATGTCTAACATTACATAAATAATGAGTAACAGGAACTTCTTATTTAGTGCTTTGTATGTACTAGGTGTTTTTCAGGTATTTTTTCTCATTTAACCTTTCCAAAAAAACTGAGGATTTTACATTTTACAGTTGAAAAAATAAAGTTAATTCGAGACCCACCCCAGCAACCTGGCGAGACCTCGTCTCTACAATAAATCAAAAATTAGCCGGGCGTGGTAGCGCGCCTGTAATTCCGGCTACTTGAAAGGCTGAGGCGGAAGGATTGCCGGAGCCCAGCAGGTCGAGGATGCGGTGGCGGTGGCGGTGGCTGGGAGCGTGCCACTGCACTCTGGTCTGGAAGACAGAGTGAGACTCCAACTCAAAAATAAAATAAAAATAAAGTTCAGAGGGATTAGGTAACTAGTCCAAGGTCACATAGCTAGTAAGTAGCAGAGTTTAATCCAGGCAGATTGATCCTAACACTTGTGCTCTTTACCATACTATTCTACTTAAGATTTTTATTTTATACTTTGCAAATTATTTTGTATCTACTATCTCAGTAAAAGATACACCTTAAATAATTTATCTCCCTATTAACAATCCAAATACTATTTTCATAGTATATTATTCTTTGGAGTTCTTAATTGTCTTAATTTTCTTCTGAAAAGTACATGGCTTTAGAGTATTGTAGATTTTATTTTACTGGGTGTGGTGTAGGTCTTAAAATTATACTTGTCTTTTTTTCTAAATATGTCAAGGTCAAGTAATTTGCAATATTAACTTAAGATTGTCTTTATAATGCAAAAATCATATATAAATTAATTTGCTTTATATATAATTTTTTTTCTTTTCTTTCTTTCTTTCTTTCTTTTTTTTTTTTTTTTGACTCAGAGTCTCACTCTGTCACCCAGGCTGGAGTACAGTGGAGTGTATAAGGCTACTGCAGCCTCAACCTACTGGGCTTGGGTAATCTTTCTGCCTCAGCTCTCCAAGTAGCTGGGAGTACAGACGTGTGCCAATACATCCGGCTACTTTTTTTGATTTATTATAGATACAAGATCTTGCCATTTGCCCAGGCTGGTCTTGAATCCTTGGACTTAGGCAATCCTCTTGCCTCAACCTTTCTTACTGTTAGGATTATGGCTGTGAACCACTGCACCTGGCAAATGTTTGACATGAATTAGAACAATAGATTAGGGGTTACTTTTTTCACCTTTCAACTACTTACCTCATTGTTTAAATTACAGTTACATAGTTAAATTCACCCTTTTGAGTTAATAGTTCAGCAAGCTTTGATAAATGTAAGTTTTGTAACTATCAACACAATAAAAATACAGAAGATTTTTCTCCCCCAAATTTTTGTGCAAACCCTTTGTAGTCAGCCCCCACCACCATTCAATGTCCTACAAACAGAAGTATGTAACCTTTTGAATCTGGCTGCTTTCACTTAGTATAATGCTTTTGAGATCCACATTATTGAGTATATTGCTGGTTCATTCCTTTTTATTGCTAAGTGGTATTCCATTGTATAGATGTACCATAGTTTATCCATTCCCAGCTGAGACACCTTTGGATTATCTTCAGTTTTTGGTGATTCTGAATAAACCATTATAAACATTGTGGTTACAGTTGTTGTTGTTGTTGTTGTTTTTGAAAATAGGTTTACATTTCACTTGGGAAAATACTTAGGAGTGGAACTGCTAGATGTGGTAAGTGTATGTTTATTTTATAAAGACTATATGAGCTGGGCTCGGTGGCTCAGACTGTAATCCCGAGCTTTGGGAGGCTGAGGTAAGTGGATTGCCTGAGCCCGCGGGTTCGAGACCTGCCTGGGCAACTTGGCGAGACCTCATCTCTACAATAAATC